CTCTTCCGGCAATTCATTTTATTTTTCTCCTCTTATTTGACGTGAAATATTCTTGATAATTTTAGCTTCTGGATGTGAGACGTACACGCGAAGCGGTAATTATTGTTTAAGTGATTTTTGATTAGGAATCTGGTCGTTTGCAATGCGTTTTTGTTCTCGTCGCTGATTACGTTTGAATTCAAACGTGGAATTAAATTCTTCATTGCTTGAAACCGAGGTTTCATTCTCAACTTTAGTAACCTATAGGGCTATTTAATTTTACTGTGTCATATCCTTAATTTTGAAGTATTATCTAGTCATATTTTGTATTCTAAGCGACGAAGATTGTCGATAATATTTATTCACAGAAATATAGAATTCGAAATACAATTAACTTTTACTTTAACGTAAAAGTTAAATTAAATTAAAGATGAAACGAAATACCTCAACAAACCTAACTTAACACTAGAATTACCAAAGGAGTTAAAATGCCTTGATTTAGATATTTTGAGCAGTTTTTGAACATGTATTGCCTTTTACAAAATTAATGTTGAATTTTCTGGTGTTAGGTCTAGCTTAAATTTTTCTAGTCGTTTATTTAAAATTGGATTAAAAAAATAGTATCACAAATAACACTAGAAGATAAGAAATAATACACCTACATAAATATAATTAGAGATAGTAGATTTTATTTGAAGTGAAAAGACGTGTACAACCTATTTAATAACACAAGTTCATTGTTTTAATAAAGAACATATATTTCAACAATAGAAATCATTACTTAAATTTCATAATAACAGTAAAGTAAACTATGAAACTTGTATCAACTGAATAATTATCAAATTAATTATCGAATAATTCATAGAAATATTATAGAATAATTTTTTAATATTTTTTTCCCTTTCTTTATTATGCATCAACTTGCAACCAGAAATAATTTTCGTAACCGGATAACATTACAAGCTATGAAGTAACAGGATAATAATTTACTGTAATAACTATTACGTTTTGCAGGAGATATCTTCTCCTGCTCATTTTTTCTATATGCAAGCAGCCCAACGCGGCGTAACTAATGCGCCAGAATAGTTACGTGACAAAAATCATATTTCGTTTACGTAGATTCCGTCACGTGTCACGCTTATGCGATTCGCGGGTAATGGTACGCGTTGCACTTGGGTCGCACTGAAAATATATTTAAAATGTTTCTTATACCGATAAAATAAACGTGACGTTAATTTAAACGGGTGCCAACAATTATTACCGAAAGAATCTCGCTTATTATTATGACCTGGATGACGCATTTTAGTATTGCGTATTCCTTCTGTTCCTAATTATACTAACCGCGTTATTATCACGAAGCGTATTGGACTTGTAATTTTATTATTATTTAAGTTGTGTATACGTTTATATACCAGTTAGAAATGATCTATATTCTCGAATTATTGTTAGACGTCGCCATGTTGCTTTTCTAATTTGTTAGATTATAATTTTCTAACAGTTGAGATCAAAGGCAAATGTTTGTACATTTAATAAATATTTTATTAACTATTACTTTCCTAGTAAATAATTTAATGTGATTTGAGATATATTCTATATACATTTAATTATCTCGTTCCATTAAAAAAGATTCAATATGATCAAAATAGCTGTATTCTATCTTATTACTGTACTTACTATGAATTTACTTTTAATAGCTGAAGAAACTGAAGGCAGCATTCGAAGAATTTTTCGAAAGCACTACTTGTAGTTAAAATTCTAACCGAAGAAAGAACATTTCGTGTGCACTAACCTAACACTCCAACACACTTCGCGCGTAAGAAATTCTTAAGCCGCATCACGCACAACAAACTCCTGATTCGTTTCCGTCATTTTAACGTTCGATGATTGCGCGGGAAAACGCAGTCGATTCGAGACGTACAAGTTGGGCAACGAGCCGAGACACACCGTATTGTTCCGTTCCGCAAACCACATCGTGTCTTAATTTCACGAAACCGCGAAAACCCACGGTGACTACGATTTTCTCAATACCACGTTGTTTTCAGAGGCAGAACCATGAGCACGCGTTCACATAAGCGTGCTTCACTAGCGAGAACGAAAGAAAGATGATCCATCTAGCGGCGTAACTGGAAGAAAGATCGACGTGGCAGGAGCATTTAGGATACACCAAGAGCCACCAGAGGTCCGTACACTTTTCTTTTCGATCCTTATCAGATTTCGCTTCTCTTTTATCACCGACGAGGTAGACCTATCATTATATGTATTTTATCGGCCCAGTTCCCGGAGGCACTGCTGCAACCTTACCATTTCGGTGTTACCCGCGACATTACCGACGGAGCATTGAAACTGTTATGGGTAGCATCAGATAGTCAAATTTGAGCGACGAAAATTCGCACAATGTTAGTTTTCTCTCCTATACTTCGTCTGTGCTTTTTTTCCTCTACTACCAACACCACCACCTTTCATCTTTCCCCCGCTCGTTATATATTATTTCCCTTCCATGCCGGTGGATTGCATGCGTCTCGGTCGAAATATACGCTCGCCTTACGTGCACACTTTTCGTGCGCGACTTAACACTTGTACATCATCCACCTTCGTGTGCACATCGCTGCGAACCTTCTTTTCCTCGTCGTTGTTCTATGCCGCCACCTGCTTTTTCTCCCTTTTTTCCACCATCCTGTTAAGGAATGTCAGTCGCAGAGCTAAATAATTTTCCTGTTAACGATGGAATAGCAAGTGTTTCTCGTGTCCAGTTTGAGGAATAGTGGCAAATTATCGGTATACATTGAAGATTTATGGTATCTTCAGATACAGCGATAGAAAGGTACGTCTTGATTAACAACTGACAAGAAATGATTGTTCTTTTTTATTTTTCTTTAACTACACGTTAAATTTACAAGTTGTTTGAGGAAGTATTAAATAATACGCATTAGTATTAAATAATGGGTAGTAGTAGGTTTTCCTAAGAGATATAAAATAAAAGATTAGATAATTACTTGAATTATCTAGTCAA